AAGGAGACATCACTTTCGACTATTTCGCGCTAAAAGCTGAGCTCCTCAATCAGTTCAAGACCGCAGACTCTGATTACGAGTTGATTAGAGAAATCATGGAGCGAAAGCAGCAGCACGCGGAGAGCTTCGAGGATTACTATGCGGAGATACACGACCTAACATTCCGCCTACGCAGAAAGATCCCTGAATTGGAGATGATAAAGATAATGAAGTCCAACGTTAAGCCCAGTCTGGCAACACTGATCTTCGCCACCAAAGTAGAAAGCGTTGGCGAGTTCAAGGCCGAATGTAAGAGGGCAGAAAAGCTGTTGAGAGAAAGTAGAGGCAGGCCGAAACATGTAAGCGAGATCGGTCAGGGAGGTGAAAATGGTGACGGAGTTCATCGCGAAGCAGTTGAAGCTCTAGCGCCGCGGCATGGTCCAAACAGCGACAGGCAACGCGAAAACGGCGGGGCTATGAAACACGAAAAGAGATGGATCAACACAGGCAACACAAGTAACCAACCGAACGAGCGGCACCACATGCAACCAGCAACATCACGTGCAGGCCAGCCGAAGCAAGAGGCAACAGCAGCAGTAGTAACACCCCAGCACCATACCACCACACCAGCACCAGCGACCACAGTGAGGACAGCGCAGAGCATTGCCTTCTGCCAGTCACCGTTCCATCTGATGATACGCTATGTGTGCGGGATGCCGGGAGATTATTTTCTAAAAAATCCAGCGGGAGGCACCAGAGAAAATCGCTGCGGGTGTCCCTTCCACAACATGGTCTGTTTCCCATGCGGCAAAAATGAGAGCTACGGCGCTTTACCCGCATCGGACAACACCAGGCTGGCGAGGCAAGCCGGGAACCCCTGCCAGACGGAACAGCACCCGGAACAACAACGTTAACAATAGCAGCAACTACAATAGCAATAACAACATCAACAACAACAACAGCAATAACAACACCAACAACAGCAACAATAACATCAGCGCTAACATCAGCAACAGCAACACCAACAATAACCACAAAAACAACACCAACCACAGCAGTGACAATATTAACGCGAGCAGCAACAAGCGCAACAATAACACCAGCAACGGATCAAGACATCTCCGAGTACAGAAGCTTAGCACAGAGGATCGCGGACTACCAGCAGAAGCGACACGAGATATTTAGCGCAGAGATTTTTAGAAGGCGAGCGTTCACGAGAAAATATAGAAAGATTCTGATCTTACGCCAAAGGAGGAAGGCGTACAGGAGGTTTCAGCAAAAGGAGATCTCAGCGATTGTTTCCCTAGAGCACGATGACAGGATGTTTGCTCGGACCAAGGTCGACAACACCGAAGTAACCGCTCTTCTGGACACAGGAGCTAGCGTCAGTTGTTGTGGGGCTGGAGCAACTAGATTCCTTGAGAATCGAAGACATCGAGTCATTAAGCTACGGAATCAACACGCCAAAACAGCAGACGGAAAGAAGACATCCGTAACGGGACTCATTACCTTACCCGTCGAGTGGGAGGGCGAGACCAGGCGTATTGAATTCTATATAGTACCAGAGTTGCGGCAGCAATTTTATTTCGGCATCGACTTCTGGAAAGCTTTTGGCTTATCTGTCGACACCAAAGCAGACACTAGTAATTCTCCGAGTAAATGCCAAGTTTTAGACGCCATAAGCCAAGGAAACGATAACTCCAAGAGCTACCGAAACTCATCACTTCAACTGACTGATGTAAAGCAAAACTCTCTAGGTGAAGGTAAGGAAACATTGCCACACAACACACGCGAAAAGTTCAGCGGATCTATTGAAATCACCTCGTCAACGTCACCTTTACATAATCAGCGTCAACAACAGCAGCAGATCCAGCTCAACAACGCTGAAGCGACAATAGCAGTAGTAAGTGACCATAACCAGCTATTGCCTTCTGCGACAGCTATTAGCGACCGTGCTAGTCATGCTAATCAGAACAAACTGGCGAAACGTACACGCATCAACAAAAATTTAAGTAGCCAACATAGTACACGGAAATCTTCAAGGCCTCATCCACCTGCAACTACCGTAACAACAATTCAACATCGTCACCAATCACAGAAACAACAGCAACTGGAACACTCGACACCAAATTATCATCCACATCAGCACAATCACCATCGCCATAGCGTGCAGGATCAGCAACAATCGCCTTCAACCAAACAATCTGCTGGCAACAGTACTACAGGCGATAATTTCGGCACAGATGCTACCGTAACTGCAACAGCTCAGCATAGTAAATCTTGTTTTCAGCCTGCTCCGCAAGCGTACATAAACCAGGTTCCAATAAATCTAGCATCAAGCGGCCGCTCAACGATGATAAACAGTGAATTCGAATTCTCTACCAACACGGGTGGTGGAAGTAATAATGATGGCAGCAGCAGTCGAACACCTTTCGACTTGGCCACGGAAGCGTTAAGAGGTTCACGACCGATAGATCGCGAAAGGTTGCTAAACTTGTTGCAAAGAATCGCAAATGAAAATCAACAATATCGGATGCAAAATCAACTACTCAAAGGGTTGCTCGACTTACGGAATGAACAGATTAGACAGCTTAGTCACAAGGTGCAAGTTCGATGACACCAGCTAGAAGACAGGGCGGAAGCTAGGAGTATAACAAGCCAAAGATATTCTCTTCTCTAAAACCTCTTGAGTATACACCGAATTTGCCCGACTAGCTCAGTCGGTAGAGCATGAGACTCTTAAACTCAGGGCGTGGGTCGAAGCCACACGTTGGTCTGTAGTAGTCGGTCGTCGAGGAGTATAGTCGGTCTGTCCGCGGACTATTTGACGTACACATTCCATATCGCAGGCGATATCGATGGGTCCGAGCTGTAACGGCCGCGAACAAACCTTGGGTAGGGTGTCTGTCGGCTGTATCAACCGCAAGTATCGGAATAATGGCATGCCGTTAGACAAAATCATGCGATTTTGTGCTACTGCTTATAAATCACGTGATAATATAATAATAAGTATTTATCTCCCCTTGTACGTCTCCTGAATAGTTTTATACAATTTTTATAGAGCTGGCGTTCGATTTTGCCCTATTTTGAAAAATTTTCTCCTAATTCTTACCATATATTCGTACAAGTGCTTGAAGTGTTGTCCCAGTGGACTATTTTATCCCTGCCGTTAAACTGTGTTTCAAATGCGGCCAATTTGGCCACAGTTTCAAATATGGCAAATTAGAGGTAAAAACCAAATATTTCATTTCTTTTTCTCAACAAGCTACCCAATTATAAAAAATAATCCACCAGTCATCCTTAGGGGCACGATAAGTCTCATTATATTTTGAACATCATTTTATAATTACGTTTATGCTTATCTAGTATATACAAGACACTTCCTCAATTGTGTTTTGTTCATTTGAAGCCTAAGGTCATTTATCAAATCTCAGCAAATCCTTCATCATTTTTCATTCTTGCGAACTTGCCCGTAATCTACAAACGCCGTTTTCCAATATAAAAAAGCTAATTTGTTCTATTTCAAATACGTTGCCACTTCTAAGATCGTAAAAATTTAATACAAAAAACGCTATAACGCATTTGTAGCTTAACAACACTAATGAAAAAGAACAAAAACAAAAAGCGTTACTTAACGGCAATTTTTATTGTTATTGTTCATTTTCGCGATCTCCATTTGTAAGTTTTGATCTGCTCGAAAAGGCTGTAAAAAAAATGTTATTTTCTAAGAAACAAGAGAAAAAATCCTTTTGATGAAAAACGTCATATTCATGTGAAATTATTTAAAATGTCGTTTTTGGAAAAAACTAATGGGACTACTAAAACAGAAACAGCAGCTCGTATTTTGCCAAGCAAAGAAAATGGTGTAGGCGCGATGTCCAGTTACGATGGTGATGATATGCAGAAATTAGATAAGCCCAAAAAAACGGAGACGTTCGAAGATAGTTCTAGATTGACTCTCGGAAAAGCCAGCAGCTGTACCTCTACCACCGCATACTCATATCACATACTTTCTCGAAATAGTGGTTTGGAAACATGTAATGTTTTTCCGATATATTCAGAGCATGGCCGATTTTTCCCGTTTTTGCACAAGCAGAAAACTAATTATTCGTTTGAATTTGATTAAATTTTTTTTTTTTAAATATACTTGGCTATAAGGTGAATAGAAAATGTGTATTACGGGATATTTGTAGCCGCCAAACGGCATAAATTGGTTTCATAAATGAATTTGTAAATTCGCATCGTTTAAGCATAAGTTAATGTGAAACTTTTGATCACGGTATTACATATCATAACACCGTTAATAAGAAAGACTTAGCTGCCTAACTTTCATTATGATCTATGGATTTCATTCACCATTTAAAATTATTGTACACCACTTGCGATACAAGGATATATTAAGATTGTACGGATGTAAGCAACAACTAAAACGACTTTATATAGACCCATCTTTTATTATACCGATCTAAGCTTGTCTGTCTGTCTCTTGTCGTTGTCTCGTGTTCAACCTACAGGCCGCGACATTTCAATCATTTCGATAAAATTTGGTACACTAAAACGTTTTGAAAATGATTCAGTTCGGACAAACTTTTTCGATCACACTTTAACACCTTATTTTCAAAATTCGGATAACGTCGGTCTAGGCTACCACCGCTACAATTATTTTATTTGTTTCATTATAAAAATGATCTGCTCGAAACACTGTTTTATATGCAAAGATGGTTTATGCAATTCCTTTCAGGTATACTAGTTGACAAAATTACAAGAAATAGGAGACCATTAGCGAATTTTTTTTATGCATAATAAAAATTCTTAGCTTGCAGACGTCATTGAATTCTTTATTTGCGTAGTCCACAGGAAAAATTTCGTAAATTCCTAGCAAAAATATTAAAATCGATGCTTTATTAGGAGACAAACACGTCTTATTCAATTCGACCATTCTTTTTTTCAATATTATTAAAGACTACGATTAATTTGAAGGCAATTTCTTCAATAATATGGCAATCGTCTTTTTTTTCGATATTATTTCAGGGTAAACTTTGCTCTTCCGAACTGAGTATACGTTCAACTTGCAAATATCCTTTGCATGTACAAGACAGTCCAATCGCAATTTCGTTTAAGTAATCGCAAGCCCGGCTCACTAAATCCGCTCCTCTTTGAAATAAGCGAGCTGCAAATAGAACGCGTTTGTTCTGCGATACAAAATCCAAGTAAGGTTGGTGTGGATGTCGTACACAAGGTACATTCTCATATGCATACGTCATTAGGATTGTGGTTTTACCTTATGATGTTTTAAAACCGTAAACTTTCGTCATAGACTATTTGAATTGTTAAAATTCGGCGAAGATCCGAAGATTTCATCAAAATGTTTAACAAATTGAAGCTTGCAGATTAAATGCAAGGAAAAAGATGAATAGACGGAAAGACACGTTTAAATCAAACCAAAAAGTGATTCTAAATCGATCGGTATAATAAGAAGTAGGTCTATCTCAAGCATTTCTAGGTGCTGCACAATTAGCGCAATGTATAACAAAGTATTAGTTTTATTAATGACATACTTTGTTACACTTATCGTTAATTAAAATTTTAATTTTTATATAATTTAATATAATAACTATGTCCACTTAATTAAATGTTTGTAACGACTTTAAGGCAAAGAAATGTGAACTGTGGCAGGCAACTATTTCGGATGAGGCACTTTTGAAAGTGAATCGGGTGATTGTAAAAATCGTAATGAACAGTTTCGAATGATGGCCACGATCGAGAAAGTTTATTGTCGGAAAAGAACAACGGTAGACAAGAAAATTCTAAAAGCTAATTTGGTAAACAATTTCTTTTATTTTCCTGAATTGCAAAAGATTAAATACGTATATTCAAACTTTTTAATATTTATTTCAAATTTCGATAGATTGAATCAAGACGGTCACCACACGTTCAAAATAGAACACATTCCAAAAGCCGAATCGCGTTATCCATCGTATTATCATAACAGTTCACGTTTTTTGCCATTTTTTTGCGACATAAAACGTAACGCCTATGAATGCGTAGAAAAAGCCGATTCATCAGCCTCGATTAGTGACTTTTTCAGGAATACAATGGAAACTAAACCCAAATTTGATCTGACATATTTATTCGCTCTGGCTCAAAATCAAATGTTAAATTATCGCAAATCCCTTCACTGCTCATAGTACTCATACTACAACTCATATTATTCCTAAGGTGTTAGTAACGATGCGGAAGAACGAGATACAGAAAACATTCGAAAATTTGTAAGCCACTTAGACACTCAGTGTATATACAAGCAAACTCCTTCCTGCAATGTCGAATATCTCAAATTTGCTGTTTAGACAATTTTATGAACAAAAACCAAGCATTATGCGGTGATCAACGACGATTCACCACACATACAGCAAACACAACTTTTTTTACAGCACCTGCAGCAAGCTGCCTCCTCGCTACATTGCAACTGAAAGGAATTTTGAGTCGTCCAGAAGCCCAAATGCTGCTGATCGGTTTAGTAAAAGATAAGCTAGGTGTGTAAGGCATGCGTCGATGTATAAGCAAATAATGTTTTTAATTTAGGCGAAATTTCTGAACATGACTAGTCAATCCCGTTTGAGTCATCGCGATCGTGAAGCCATTATGTGGAACTTACGTATACATGTCAACAGCAACAGCAACAAATTCTGCAAACCTTAACTGCTCTATCTAATATCTAATAGCCTGTTGGGGTAAATTAGAATCAAATGGCTCGTGTGCAAAAGCATCTTGTAAGCAGCGTGTTGTTAATGGGAGTAAGTGTTTGTACATTTTTTATTTATTATTTATTTACTTTCGTTCTGAATTTAATTGTTGTAAATGGACCTACCGCAGTAAAAATTTTTCACGGTTTAAATCAATTTTTGATCAATTTTTCACGGTTTAAATCAATTTTTGATCAATTTGTCACTGTTTTAAGCAATTTTTGATCAATTTTTCAATGTTTTAATCAATTTTAGTCAAGTATTTCACGGTTTAAATCAATTTTAGTCAAGTTTTTCACTGTTTTAATCAATTTTAGTCAAGTTTTTGCACAATTTAATCAGTTTTTAACAATTTTTTGCACAATTTGAGCAGTTTTTAACAATTTTTTGCACAATTTGATCAGTTTTTAGCCAATTTAATCAGTTTTTTACACAATTTAATCAGTTTTTAACAATATATCTTTTTTTGCTGTTGTTTTTCATTAACATAGGAAATATTTTGTTCATAACCTCAAAAGAAATTTAAATTATCTAAATTTTTCGCACGCACAGAGTCGTATTTAAGGATTTCAATTTTGTTTTTGCACGAGTTCCTTTTTTTAAACGATTGATAACATTTAAATAATACCCGAAAATTATACCCCACAAACATTTCACCAATCCCGCGATAATTGAATAATGAATTTCCTTTTTTTTACAGTGCTGGAAACGAGCGCAGAAATATCATTTAAAAAAAAAAGGACCATGAGGAAAAAGGACGGTAAGTTGTCGAATTTTTTTTTATTCCTTTTTTATGTTAATAGGCTTTTTTATTTTTTTTTTTCAGCTCAAGACTTGCGCAAAACGGACATGAGATGAAATTTGCTTCCAGAAGAGCCTAGCCGCCGAAGAAGAGGTGGGCGGCGCCCTTATTCACCAGTGCGCCCACCTCTTACCCGGCATGATTTGCGGCACCCCCTTAGCCGCACAAATGAGGGCGAGCCTGGGGCAGAAGAGGCGGGCGGCACGCCGCTCGCCCAATAATAATACACAAACATTATTATGTGTAATAAATGTAGGTAATGATGTTTATAATAATTTTTATGATATTTATTTTGTCATTATTTTTAGATAAACCAAAACGACCATTACGAAAGCAGACACCACTCTTAAAACACCTCTCAGAAAGCTAAATGCCAATTTACTTGCTTCCAAGTTTGCCTTGAAATTTTCATGTCAAATGAAAAAACACATAAATACTAATTGTGATTTTCATAAAATCATAATTACGTTTAACTTCAGTTTGTTTCTAAAAAGGAAAATACACGTAAAGAAAACGCAGTGAACGAACATAATCGGAGGCTGAGAAGATTAGTAACAAATCAGCGAGATAAAGCAGAGTAAAGGGAGCTGAGAAGGAAATAGGCCAACTTTTTTTTATCGGCAAGCAAACATGTCTATAATCGCAGAAATTCTTAACGCATCCTAAGATACTTGTCAAACTTATATAAAAATTTCAGAGTACCATTTGATAAAACAAATCATAGCTTATTGTTATAAGGCTTTATCTTCTAGGATTTCCGTTACATTTGAATAGGTGGAAAATGTTGATTCCTTCATCGCCTTGTTAGTTCTATTGGACCAAAATTACGTTTTAATTTGCATACTGAACTCTCTTTCCGTAAGGTTGGGTCTGCGCTGTAGTCTGACTGTGATCGGATCCAGTCTTGAATGTGTTTCAATAATTGGTGCCCTAATTATCAATTCTCAATTCACTCCGTTTAGCTTGTCCAGAACAAGTCCTTATTTACGACAAGTGAAGTGATCTAGAATTCTACTTGTTCTTTACGAGTACTAGAAAAATTTTTCTTCTCTTTCTGAAGAATTTTAAATTGAATTTTCGCAACGTTTCATTCTTTTTATTTGCCTTTATTGTAATTTTTAGGGATCTTAGACTTTTATTATTTATTTATTTTTTTATCAATGTTCTTAAGGCGTTTACTAGTTTTTTCTTCGTTCTTTTTCTCCCCCTACTTTTCAGTTTTTATTTGTTTATTTATAAATATATAATTTTAAAGTTTTTTTAATTTTTTCTTTTTTAATTAATTTTAAAATATTTTCCTATAAGTTTTAACTTTCATGTCAAAGATTTCTTCGGCCATTAGCAATTGCGTCGGAATATTATACACGCATAAGTAAATAAAGCAAGTAAATAAAAAAATTTTTTTATAAAGATTAATGCTTATACGATATACCCTACGTTCTAATAAAATAATTGATTAAATTCACTGTTTATTGAAATGGGTAAGCCCTTGTTTTCGTAACAATTATTCCTAATACTTATTAACTTTATCACCTCTGACGAATTTCTGGGGTTTCTCACAGCAACCCCTTCAACGGTAACTTACTGTAACTCTTTGTGAAAATAGATTGCTATTGCCAGCCTTACCGGCACTTCTTGGTTAAGTTAATATAAGTTCGCTGGCGTTGCTAAAAAACTTCGTTTCTAAATGGTGGTTTATCTTTGTAAAATTGAGCCAATATAGCCATAAAATTACGGGCTTCTCAGCCCTTCTAGGCTTTTGCACAATTCGAAATCAATCTAAATCTCAATAGGAGACTCTTTATATTTATAGTATCAACCCTCATTAAGACGTCCTTTTTTTATGGCGTATCTAAATTAAATTTTAATTTTTTAAATATTATCGTTTGTCAAGTCTTTGCATATTTGCACCGACTTAAGGGTCCTTCACCAACTCGGGTTCGTAGTGGCCCTCATCTGTCATCCTTAGCGCCAGATGCTTTTATTTATTGTCATAAAGAAGTAAACGACATAAAATTAATCTTTCATTTTTTAATATATTAAAAGATATACTTAAGAAAAATTAATGTGCCACCGTGACATCCACCATAATTACTTTTGAATTAACACAATTAACTTTTCGGATTCTACTGTCCAAACCCTTTTATATATCAACGGTATGGGAAAAGTAAACCTAACTAAATTAGAGTTATCGCTGACCTTGTTGCCTACTACCCTCCGAGTCCTCTTATTTGATACCCATATCGCATTTTAAGGAAACACTAATCCCCCAAGTCGTGTCCACCATAATTATTTTAGAATTAACGCATTCCGGAGAACAAACTGCTTCTTATGGGTAAACTTATGATTTATTAACACATGTTCTCAATTGTATGGAATTTTTATTTTCTCAGTTGTTTGGAATTTCTATACAAATTATTGAGAATATATACGCTTATTCTCGCATCGATGGCTTTTTTACAAAGACCTGTTGAATTATTGAGAACTGCGCTTATTCCTTAAAGTGGTGCAATACATGCAAAATTATCGAGAATTTTATACGCTCATTTTTAAAAGTGGTACAATACATGCAAACTTCTCTAGAATTGTAAACCCCGTTTGCAAGCCAAAGAGCTTCGTTTACTTAGCACCAATTTTGGGATCAATCACAGATTATACGGGGGCATCCAATTTAACCCGATTCGCTTACGACCGATCTGCAGAATCCACCATGTACCGTTGCTTGCTACTCATTACAAATATCAGTTCGTCTTTTGTTTTTCTTTGCTTACACTAATTTTGTGGAGAGAATTTATATAATCCTTTCCGCTCTTCTTTCTGCGTGAAAGGCAAAGAAGCGTTTGTTTGTTTTCTGTTTTCTTGTCGTTCATATACACCACACGCCACGAAAACTTTACATACCTTTTGTTATAAAAACAAACCAAGCATCGCTTATGATATCTCAGTTTTTTTTTGTTTTATTATTTGATTTCATATTTGTGTCACGATGTTTCAAAGCGACTTTCATAGAAAGAAAGTTTATCATAACAGAAAAGACCCGAAATGGATTATACAGGAGATAATTATTACGACAGTGTGAGAGTCTCGAAGACAAAACAGCAAAAGAAACTCGATTGAGCAATGCCGGGACTGAAATGTCGCTCTTCATTAACATGACCTTAATTACCATGCCCAATATTTCTTTACATTTTTTAAGGCGACAGTAAATCAATAAGCGTCAAACTATTCTCGTGGGGGTTAACGCCACTGATATTGACATTAGATCGCCAGCCAAGCCAAGCCGAGCAGCACAAACCGTAGAAATTGCTTTCAAGAAGATCTGCAAAGCATCCATAGCTTGGTAACCAAATCACAACTACATATTTTACGTTTGGTCCAGTCAAGGACGCATATAACCCTTTCGCAATGTAAGATTCGTCGAACTCTTCAGAGTACTTTTTAATGAAACCCAGAAGAGCTGTAGCTTTATTAAATGTTATATCTAAGTTTGGTTCCAAGGATGATTCCTAAGTCATTAAAGCTCGATACGTACTCCAGAACATAATTTTCAATTCAATACGAAATAGGCACAGCAATTGCGTTAACTACTGATCAGGTGAAGAAATTATTCCAATTGCTGTGAAGATAACATTCTCCGACATTACAATCTTGCGCCGAATGAACGAAATCCTAAGAGCTTCCCAAAGAACTTACGCATTAATATTACATTTCAAGTTGTAAACGTAATGTCGTGGGCAGTTCGTACCGCGAGTTAAAAGATGTAGTGTATTCAACTGTCAAAAAAACAATTTTTTTTTTTAAATCTTTTTAATTGTAAAATGTGTATTCAAAGTGTCAAAAATACAATTTTTTTTAAAAATTTATTCAAGTTTTGAAAAATGGAATCAAGTAAAGAAAACCATAAAGGTGAAGAAAGTTACTTAGACGGCCCGAATGATTGTAATATCAATAAAACATAGGTAATTCAAAAATATATCGCTCAAAAAAAAGTGTGGGTCGATACGAAGATGAAATAATGTCCTTAGTGGATTCCCGGCCTTAGGCGCAAACGACAATAACCAATTTTGACAAGCTCGCAAAATTTTAGGTCTTGCCATGAATTGTTATCACAGTCTACTGAGTTATCGATAAGGTGGAAAGGAATTGCATGTCACTGATGGAGAGTTAATCGAATGTTGTAATAAAGCGGAAGTTACGATGAAAGAAGTAAACAGCATAGACGCTCCAGAAGGAGCTCATGATGACAACAAAAGAAAGCAATTGCAGACATAATATTTGAGGACTTTTCTACAACGCATTTTAACAGTCCATCGCTTGAAAGTAAGTTAAGGAATTTGGAACGGTTCCCTTTATTTATATTACGGGAGAAACCTAAAAGAAATTATAGGCATGAATTTAGAGAAAAGGCAAAATTGCCTTTTTTATACGATCCTGCGCCAGAAAGTAAGTGGCTCTTTATAGGCTTTTTTTTAACAAGTCTAACTTTGCAACTATCTTCTAACTAACTTTCTTTTTAGGAAAAGCTACAGATCGAGGTTATGACGATATCGAGAAAGAGGACACTTACAACGTAAATCAAAGTAAGTTGTTTTTAAAATTTGTGAAGAGACAACATTAAAGTTAATCCAACATTTTTCAGCTTTGGTGCCATCCAATTAATTTAAAACTGAGATAAGTAACAATTATGATTGGGATGAAGATGACGATGACATTTTTGCTTCTATAAGCACTCAAGAAGTCCTACATCAAGACGTGAAGATCAATAATTTTCCTCATATGTCGAAGTTCCCAGTAAATAAGCAGATTACTCAGGGTATGGCATTGATATTCCTCACATTTTATTATGCTTATTATTTTATTATTATTTTGATTGGCTTTAAAGGTAACCAAACAGACAATATTAGTGGGTACTCCAAGAGCTTGGTGCTGAGAGAAACTAATGTTGCATTAGGACTTCAAAAAGCTAGCGGAGAACGGCCGGAGTTGGGAGTAGGTAAAAACGCAGTTGGCCTGAATGACATTTTTATTGAAAACGAATGGAAAGAAGTGAAAAGTAAAGTGAGTCGGGATGAAGTGGGCAAGATGAATAATCCGGGAAATTCGCTTATTTCTGCGAGTTTTCAAACAGCGAATGGTAAAAAAATCTCCATATCGAAAGAAAGCCAAATATCCGTAAAAAATATTCTAAGAGAATTTCAAGACAATTTTCAGGAAACGAATGATGAAACTGAACTAAAAGACATAAAAGCTCGGATGTCGATTAAAAGTATGGAATCCAAGTTTGGAAAAAATACGAACAGCAGTGCGCAAATAGCCAACAAAACAGGCTTTCAAGCGACCTTTAAAATACATCAAGATAATGTTGGCAAGTTTAATAATCCGGGAAGTTCGCTTATTTCTGAGAGTTTTCAAACAGCGAACGTTAAAAAAAAACCCATATTTGAAAAAGAAAAAAGCAATGAAAGTGGACTGGAGGATATAAAAGATCGCAAAAAGCACTTGTTGTCATTAAACCCAAAATTTAATTATAGGCCACCCCAACTCTGTGAGACACCACGACAAAGCGAGACTCCAACACCAGAATTAGGGGAGTTTGTTAAAAATGCTGTTGAAACAAGTCCGCCTGGCATTAATAGGAAATTGCCAGTTCAGGAAAAAGATAACGACGCAATATTAATGGCAAACCGACCAAAGAGGTGGCGGCTATCGGGTTTGAGTCGTACTCGTACTAATTCAAAGAAATAAGAAATGAAGATTTGATGGAACACGCAAATTTTCTTATAAGATTTTTAATGTTAGTACATTTTGAGTCCTTTCTTATCTTTTTTTTAAGGGGTTCGATATCATTGGCGTTGCTGGTGTGGTCATCATCGCTATAAATACTAATTGGCTGGATAATATACACTGAAGAAGCGAGAAATAATTATTTTATTATATTTATTATATTTACATAACATATAAAAATACCTATGTACACATATGCTTCAACAAAAAAAAATATATACTCATGGAATATTATTCGATTTTCAAATTTTTGTATATTTATCTACTGTAGTTTATGAATAATGAAGAAGGAACGAAATTTTTAACGTCACATTGTAGGCGTGTCCTTCAATCGATGTGCGCCATTTTCAATACCAGCCTCTGCCCAATAATTTCCAATGCTTCTGCCATCTTCATTTTTGTGACCAAGAGACAAACAAAGATTACATAGATGGGCAGACAGCCAGCCGAACGTACATAAATCGATTTATAATTAGATGCTGATCAGGAATGTATATACTCTCAAGTTTCCCTCTTGCAAACGCATCATTCTATGGTGATGGACGGAAAAATTACAAATGAGCCTTTCTCTTCGCCTTTCCGTCTGTCCGTTTGTAGTTTTGTCATCTGCCAGTCCTTCCGTCCAATGTCTGCCCATATCAGTTTGTGTTCAAGCTCTAGGTCGCAATTTCTGCAACATTTTACTGAAATTTGGTATACCGCCGTATTTTGGCCCAAGAACGATCGCTAATGAAAATGGTTTAAATCGGTCTATTTTTTCATTTTAGAACATTTCTACTTGTTGGAATATTTTTAGGGAAAAGAAATTTTTCCCTTTGGCAATGAGTTGAATATAACCTTTTTGCCATATTTTACCCTAATTAAGGGTATGCGTACGCGTATTAATATTATTATTTCAATAGTGAGATACGTGTGCATAAAAAATGTAAATGGAATTGCTGGCACTTATTTTAATCCCCGCGGAAAATCAACTCTTATCGCAACGTTAACGCGTAAGGATAGGGAGCTTAACGATCCTGCACCTTAATGTGAAATGGTTACATTCTTGAAAGGAGATGAAATTCCACCATTGCATATACGCATGTATGAACCTGAAAACGTGGATCTATCTTATGATATATATGGGGTAAGTGTGCAAATGCTTTAAGGATAAAAATTGGATTCACACAATTTCGCTAAAAGTAAATATTTAAATTCTTAATTTAGATTATATGTTAGTGCTATAAATTATGCGCGCTTGTTTCTGAAATTATTGACATCTCATCACACAGAAACCAAGCAACCGAGGTATTGTAATGACATACATGCACAGCACAAACGCATTACGTGCGACAAATATAATCTTGTTAACAACTGGGGAACATTTGCATGGCTTTTACGCATATCTGGGTAGAATGTGATCGTCGGGTAGAATGTGATCGCGAGTCCGTAAAATCAGTAGAATTTCAAAGGATAAATGAAAATAAGGTGTCTTTCAACAAATTTTTCCTAATTCAATGCGGTTTGGGATGCTTTTTAAATCACTCATAGCTGCATCAATTTTAGGGTAAACGCACATCTTCGCAATCCTTTTCAAATTAATAAATTTTTCATTTTCCCATGACGTTTTGTTCACTACTACATATTTGTTTTACATTTATTATAGCGGGAATTTCCAAAAAATGTACTGTAAGCTACACTTCTTCCGTTTTCTGTCAATTTGTTTACAGGATTATGCAATTTACAGTAAACTTGCTAATAAATAAGATGGAAAGAACAGCGAAATGGACCCAGTTGAGGATTCCATTATGTGAGTATGTAGGCTCAGTGGAAAGATTTAGAATATTATCTATTATCCTGTTTAGAAATCCGACTTGAAAGAATAATATATTGGAAAGATATTCTCTTGTAAATAACTGATAGCTGTTAGTGTTAGCAATCTTAAACTAATCAATAGTCGATGAACATTCAAATGTGTCAGTAAGCAACTATTTCTGCAACAGAGACCATTCTAAAACACATGGCTCCTTTGTTAAAAGATTTGCCGGTTGAAGTAAATCGCATTTAAAATCTGAAGCAAATCGCAATGAAAATCTGCCTTCAGAGCATTTTTTTACATAGCAAGAGTGTCATTATATCTTCTTCCAACCGAGTGCACGGTTAGTTCAACGAATACAGACTCAAGGATCCCTTCTTCCAGGACTCGAAACATTACCCTATAATAATGTTTTCGGGAAATCTATGAGCCAAATTTCCTTTATCTAGGCTCTGCCCGATCATATCTCGATAAACTATTTAGTAAAACACATCAGAGTTAGATATATTACTTTTTGCCATGATCCACTTATGGAAAAACTCTCAGAGAAAACATATCACCTACTAAATCCTCTTTCTGATACATACATGTAATTAAAAGACGGAATGAAGAGATAAGCAAGTACTGGTTGGAAAAGGCAGAACACTTACCGATCTGAAACACGAACTCCGTCTACTTCCTAACTCTCATTCTCTCTCCCGTTTTCTTCGTGCCTCTTTGTGATCATCAACGCATTACACGACAAGTGGACATCCCTTAAATGATTTGGGCTCCTTTTTGCTTTTTTTTTCTTCTAAACGGAGATCAGTGTGTACAGATATCCACACAGAAGGCAACGTTCTTTAAGCAGTAATTCAACAAGCATACATACAATGTTTAATGACCATTTAGCCGTAAAAAAGATCATTTCTCATAATATAGAGAATAAAGCTTCGTTTTAAAAAGTCGTTGGATGAAAAAATAGTGTAAAATCTTAGTGGAAGCGGAGTAATAGTGTTTGAGCAACTAGAAAACGTTGGATCGCATGGAATAGTTTTTTGACCCTCTTTTGGAATGGTATTAAAATGGCATTTTTAAATGTTATTAATATACTCTTTATTTATTAAATTGAACTTAAAACAATTTTGTAATAATATAACATTTTTTAGAGCGCATCTGTATTTACAACAATGATAATACAGTTGGATTTTGCGTGTTTTTGATAGACATCTTTAGATATTCTTCAACATCTGTTAACGTTGAACTACCATCATCCCATCGTAACCCATGAAAATACAACCATTTGTTTGTAGTTCTATTCTTCGCCAATAACTTTGAATATTTGTTAAAATAGCGGAATTCCGGATCGAAAGTATATAAAATGTAATTAAACAGTCTTAAACAGTCTTACACTGTCTAGCTAGAAAGCATAGAAATTGCATTCAAGTATTACCAGTTTTTTGTACTCACTACCGAAGGAAGGAGGTATGGAACAAAGGAACAAAGCTTTACATATCCCGTAATAAATATAGAGAATATTCTAGGTCAGTATAAACGTACGACTTTTTGATTTAAGCATGTCCCTCTGTCCATGTGTGTAATTTCTATGGTAAATTTTCTCTCGATCCAACAAACGAGGCTGTTGGCTTCAAACTGGGTGAAAACATTGGAAGCTTCTGCGTGCAGTTTGATCTTGAAAATATCATAATTTGTCAAAAGACAACTGGCAACACATACTAGCTCGATATGTTTTGCTCTTTGCTCATATACTCATGCACGTATTTTGATTTGAGGCATCGCTTCAGCCGCCCACCTCTGAGTGAGGGTGCGAATCGCCCAGAATCGCCGGCGCGGCGTAGGCGCAGAAAAGGTGGGCGGCGCAGGGTTCGCGCTGCACCAATAAGACCAATCATCATACACAAGCACTTCTATGTCTAATATATTCGAATTCAGAAAGCAATTAAACCGATTGTCGCTACTACTGCTAATGACATTAATAAGACCAGTAATGACATATGTAAGTAATGATATTTTCACGGTTGTGATATTTTCAAAAAGCGCTTCTTGTCGTTGAACCCAAAAAAGAGTTTTAGGTCATCTAATGAACTCTGTGAGACCCCTAAAAGAAATTTCTTACAAACCGAGACTACGACACCAGAATTAGGGGAGTTTGTCAAAAATGCTGTTGAAACAAGTACACCAATCAATAGGAAATTGCCCCTTCAGGAAATGGAAATGGAAAAAGATCCCGATACAGTATCAATGGTAAACCCACCAAAAAAGTGGCGGCTATCGGGCTTAAGACGTACTCGTACTAGTTCAAAGAAATAACAATGACAATAAAAAGAATTGATGAAACACGCAATTATATATTTATAAAAATAAAAAAAATAACAATATTTATGTGACCTTTATTAATAAGTTCTTGAACAGATGCCGGTACTCCTGAGAAATGAAGATCCTAAAAAATAAAAAAAAATTAAAATCAGCACAAATTTTTCCATTTTCACATTTTGTTTCATCTGCCACTGCCAATAGAAATATATTGGGGTGGCAATGCCTTTCAATTCTGCTAGTTTTTTTTAATAACTATGTGTTTTCACATATACATTGAAAGAAGATAACGGTTTCTGCGAATTAGCAGAAATTTTGCAGGCGCAAACGCGCATTTTTTCATACATTCGATCATTTTAATTTCGACCACGCATCAAGCAACATCAACAAGTAAATTTAAAATATTGAATATTTAAAAAAAAAAGGAAATTTAAGGAAAATGGCATATAGATGAAGCAACGACAATCATGAAGTAAGAAGTGAATAATTTTTTATTCCTGCGTTTTGTTGAACTTTTTAAAGACATTAAATTTCTTTTTGGCTCGGTATTTATACAATTTTCTTTACGAGTTAATTTGTGTCGCAGAATTTTTGTGGTTAAAAAAAATGGTTTCCGTTTCCTTTACAATGGGTATAAGCAATACTATAAATTGGCCTCATGCAGTAGTAGGTGAAGCCCCTTTTTCCTTTAAGCAGTTTCTCCCCCTACAATTCTTTGTGATATGTATAACTTCCAACTTCCAAAGATTGTTTAGATGATTGAAAAAGTTCTGTTCCGGTACGGGTGTTAAATGATTTTTGATTGTAAAAGAAATTCTTTATATATATATATATATATCATACCTACTAAGTC